GGTTTTTATAGATTTATTCTTTAAGTAGTATTTTATTAGGATGTTAGAAAGGCTTGTTATATAGAAGGCTTTCCTCTTGTAGGTCTGATATTGTTAGCAGACAACATAATAGGTACAAAGTTCATGATTCTGTAGTTCTTAGGGCAACCCTTTCAATGTCTGGGTTAGATAAGATTTTAGTCTGATATGAAGAATCCTTGCCCATTATCATTTAGGTTAGGTTAAGTAAACACTTAGTTTGACGTAGATATATGTTTCTTTATATCTGGCCAATCAGAGGATTATTACTGAAATTACCACTGTCTTTTGTAACCAATTATGCTGTTTGAATATTGTTTTTTGATGATGTCAGTCCATGTATTTCCTGAATATGTTCAGAATAGGCTCAAGAAGAAGATGAAGAAGAAAAAGAAGAAAGTTGTCAATTGTTGGTTAACTATCTGGTCTAATTGTTTTCCTATTAATTGAGGCATGTTTCCTGATTATGCTGAGAAGAAAGCAGTCAGTTTTGATGGGTCCTTTGGCCTAACTGTTTCCTGTATTTCATTACAATAAAATACAAGAACTTCCTCCTCATTTGACTTCATTTTTGACATGGAATCTAATATGTACAACAGGAACAATGAATTACAATCAGTTCTCCTGGCTTATGGAACATGACATGTCTCCTCTTCTCCTGTCCCTTGCATGGTTGAAGTTGGATCAAGATGGGCAGCCCTGTTAGTGCCTCTGTAGCAGTAGAAAAGAGCAAGATTCCGGGAGCACCTTAAAGGCTGACAAGATTTGTGGCAGGGGAGGAGCTTTCGTGAGTCACGGCTCACTTCTTCGGATAAATAAGAAATGGCTGAAGTCAGTGTTCAAGAGTGCAAAAAGGCACAAGTTAGTGATGGCAGCCCATTTCTGTGGCATCGCAAGTGAGGGCCCAAGCAGCTGTTTGGGGGCCACAGCTCTGCGCGACAGATGAAGCTGCTCAGGCGAGCAGCGGCTGTCCACACTCCGGGGCAGGAGAAGCACCCGTGACGTGAGGTCCTTCGAGGCAGAGACGCCAGGGACTGCCACAAAGACCTTCTCCGTGCAAAGCAGACACTGTGCCATGGAACCACCACCCTTCTCTTCCCTAAATTGGACCGTGAGGACCCTAATCCTTGTATCAGCATCCGTTTTTTCCCTACCTCCTTCCTCACAGGAAAAAATCCACAGACAAGTTGCCATCAAACACAAAACAGCCACCCACGTTTCTGAAGCTGGAAGGATGCACAACAAACTAAGATCCAGGTAGATCCAGGGAGTCACCCGTGTTGGTCTGAAGCAGCAGAACAAACTTAGAGCCCAGTCGGGGCACCTTTAAGATGAACAAAGGTGTATTCGAGGTATGCGCTTTCATGTGCAAGGCACACTTTTTCAGATACAATGGAATGGGAGGTAAGGTTCATACTTATAGATGGGCTCAACAGCAAATTAACATGTGACATGATTAAGACTTCTTTAACATGTTACATTTTAGTCATGCCGGCCACATGACCACGGAAACGTCTTCGGACAGCGCTGGCTCTTCGGCTTTGAAATGGAGATGAGCACCGCAACCCTAGAGTCGGATTCGACTGGCTTTCGAGCAAGGGAACCTTTACCTTTACCTTATCATGTTACATGGTAATTTGCTGTTCAGCCCGTCTATAAGTTTGAACCTTACCTCCCATTCCATTGTATCTGGAAAAGTGTGCCTTGCGCATGAGAGCGCACACCTTGAATAAACCTTGGTTGGTCTTAAAGGTGCTCCGACTGGACTCTAAACTGAGGGCAAGGTGCAGTTACGGGCTCTCGAGTCCCCTTCAGCCAAACAGGAGAGGTAAGCAGCCATGTCAATTTGTCCCATCAAAGTCAACAGGACTTGCAATGGACCTCGATTTGATTTTTGACTTGTGTACTGTCTGCCATAAACGGCTCTTCAGCCTGTGCCACTGTTACAGTTCCACAGCAGTTCAAAAAAGAAAACTTGCTCAGAAGGTGTCAGTTCAACTCTTTCCACTGCCAATATCCTTCTGGGTCTGAGCAATGGTGGCGCGGTTATCCATGATGCTAGGTTTGAATTGTTCAGAGTAGTTGCTGCTTGCCCTTAATCACAATTCTCATTAGTCTGATTCATTAGACGGGCCCTCTACTTACATTTAACAGCTGCTCTTAAGCGGCTTGAGGCGCTTGCAGTCTCTAAATGAAACCGTCTGTGTAAGAAAACCTTCTGATACGGACGTATGCGAGCGTGCTGATTTTTTGCCTAGGCGATATCACTAATGGCATCTTCAGTGACGAAGGGCTGCTCCATTCTCTGTCCTTCTGGGGAATTTGGCGAGTCGATCTAATTGACCAGAGGGCTGCTAAGTTCCCAGACTACGCTCTTGCATCAGGTGCGCATTAGTCCAGGCCAAAACTGGACCCCACAAAGAAATCATTTGAAACCGCCTCCACATGATGCTCGTCAGCACCCACTGCAGCTGGCGGTGCAACGGAAACAGCATGCGACAAATGCGGCAAGCAGCAGTGCTTACTGCCAGGCCCACAGGATGGGTGGAGCTGCAATATCCTGACGAGAGACCGAGGCTCAAGGAAGAGCCATGAGGGGCGACGCTGCCTTTGATTAGGTTCTGCACTCAGAAGAACGATGTTGTGCTGATGTCATGCAGAGATGTCTTGTGGGCTCCAGAAACAACCAGGGCCCAAGTCCGGAATCTGAAACTGAAGCCATTCCTCCAGGTGGCGCGAGGCTCCTTGTTTTGGAGTTTCAAGTTGCTACACTTCAGTCATTACAGAGTTAAATGTTGTTTGTCAGGAAACAGGATGTTGTGTTACATAATGTATTCTACGGCGGGAAAGTTTGAGGGAGCTGCTTAGTCTAATGAAGTGACCTGTAGCTTTTGTATTGGTCAACCAACAACTTGTTTGTGGAAATGCTTTGATCTAGCATTAATGTATTCACAGTTTTTATGGCCCTTTGTGTGAAGCACGGGAAGCGCTCTCTTGAAGCCGCTGGGTAGATGAAAAGATGTCGCTGTTAGCAAGTAGTGCTGAAAGTAACTGCAAGTATGTAATCTTGTGTTTTATTTCTTTTTATCCAAAGTACCCTACCCATGATTTGTTTTGTAGTGAAGATATTTTCTTTTAACTAATGTGACTCTTGTGTTTGCAAAACGACCATCGATCTCAAATCTCAGAATCCCTAACACTTTGTCAAAGCACAGGAAGCACATGCCTCACCTCTCGGACTCCGCCACGCATCTCCTCAGTCACCAAAGACAAACAGGGTGATGAGTAATGGCTGGAAGAGGCAGCGTCAGCAGATTGCCTCCAGTGATTCAGCACCGCTCCAAGTTCTTACGTAACTTCTAAGCACTGGGAGAGCAATGAACGAATATGCAGATGCTGCTGATGGGACTGACTCTGTTTGCATGAACCATCTCTGCTTTCAACCAGCTGATTTATTACCGATCGAGCAGGAAGGAAGCAGGCCTCAGGCCTTGCATACATTGAGGACAACGTTCTGCATTTACGAAATGCTTTTTATTGACTGCTGGCCTGGATGACCTGTTGGAATCCCGTAAGTAGCCCTCCAGTGTAGGCCATCAACACTTTCCCCATACTGGCCATGAGGGGAAGGGAGGCCCAGAGAAAGCCGGCGCTCGCCCACAGCTACTCTACTATGCTCATGGCTGGAGTGCAGCCTCGATCTTACGTTTGACGTGGGTTGGGATCAGCGCTGCCAAATCAGTGCCTGGACAGCCTCACAGCTCAGCAAATAGGCCTAACCCTGTGGCCATTTCGGCTGGGGAAAACGGCAGGGGAGGGGAGGCTGGAGCCCCGGCTTCTCTACCGCCATGCCCCTTAACTAAATAGGGTTCCAGCCAAAGGATCGCGGGGGATCGCAGTTCCCCCGGGTGAGGTACGGGGGGCGGGGCACATGATGAAGCCCCGCCCCCTGCTTCCAGCCGCCCCGCTTCCGGCCCTCATTCAGCCAGGAGGAGGCAGGAGAAGAGGGAGGGTAAGTTGCTTCCTCCTTCCCTCTCCCCACCCCTGCCTGCCTGGGGCCAGGGAGGGCCTTCGCGGGGCTTTCTCGCACTCCCGCCGGCCTTGCAGGTCCACCGCCAGGCCCCTCATGGGGCTCCGCAGTGGAGCTGCAAGGCTGGCGGCGGCGGCCGGGACCGTTGGGGGCGGGGGGTGTGGCCTTATGACACACTTCCGGTGATGTCAGGGGGTGTGGCCTTATGACACACTTCCGGTGATGTCAGGGGTGTGGCATATGCTAATGAGTTATGCTAATGAGTCCCCCTAGCTCTTTTTCTACGAAACGACCCCTGGTTCCAGCACACTTGGGAACGCTGCTTCTCTGACGTTACGTCTGACTGTAAAAGCAACAGAGTCATGTCAGGGTAACCCTGACCCAACTCGTAGCTCTCAGCTCAGGACTTTCCAGCTCACAGTTTACACCCTTACAGTACCGCCCTAAGTTCAGTGGACTCAGAAGGGCAACACTTCGCTTAGGGTAGCCCTGTCAGTCACTGCGCCAGAAGATCGCAGAGCTGAGAAGACTGGCCTTGGACAGCAAGAATGGGACGCCGACCCCAGTGGGCCGCCGGAGGAAGAGAGCCGGGGGGAACAGCTAACCCACCACCTGGGTGCCGGTAGGCAGCCCCACCCCTTGTAACATATGTGGCCACAGTCTAGGGAATTAACTTGCACTTGCAACGTATCTGTAAACAGCTCTGAGACCATCGGGTCTGAGCGGCATATAAACCGAATGTAATAATAATAATAATAATACGCAACACCACATCACACTACAGACATGCTCTCTCTCGTGCACGTGCCAGCACACAGGCACGGAAATGGACACAAGCATCCCGTTGTTCTTCCTTGTTCTGACACCCCATGAAGACAAGCCCCATGCTCAGTGCTCCGATTACACATTCCAGGCTTTCATTTGATTAGAGCTGCAGCGACGGATTCCTTACCGTTAAGGACAGGGCCATGCAGACAAAAGTGAACTTTTTGATATGCGTCGCTGTGACTGTGCTGCTGGTGTTCACCATTTTATTGCTGGGGTTATTCTAGAGTGAGAGATGGGGAGGGGGGGGAAGAGAAAATAAATAACAGGCATCAACATCCAAAAGAGCACCAGTGAGAGTCTACAGCAGAAAAAAACGGCAAAAAGAAAATGCCTAGATGAAGCAGTACAAGTACTTTTGCTTAAGCAAACGTTGATTTGGCTGCTGAACAATGTTCCCTCTAAGCTGTGGAGTCTTGTGAGCCAAAATTCTACTTTGTGAGCTGCTGGCATTAAATTTGTGAGCGAGCGATTTGGCTACTGCATAAATTAGTTTTTTCTGGAGCCCTCCTTCCTGAGCGAAGACAAAAATGTGTGAGCTGAAGGCTAAAAAACTGTGAGCTAGCTCACACTAACTCAGCTTAGAGGGAACACTGCTGCTGGATGCTACTTAGTCTGAAGCATAAATAAGCTAAGTGTTGGGGAGGGGGGAACGGACTGGCTGAGGTTTTGCTTCATGCAGATACTGACGCCAATCCAGTGAAGCAGCCCCGTGTGTCCTGCCGTAGTTTCCAGTTCCTGGGAAGTGAACTGGAAGGCACTTGGAACACCCCATCTGCTATGGATGGCATTTCAGCAATGATAAATGAGTGGGGTTTGTATGGTCAGCTATGATACCATGTGGATTGATCTTTGCAGTCCCACAAGTGGTAATTCAGAGCCAGTGAATCTGTGGCTGGGTCGGTTAAAACTAACTGGGTGCAGCTTGCAGAGAGAGAGAGAGAGAGAGAGAGAGAGAGAGAGAGAGAGAGAGAGAGACCCCACGAGGGGGAGGGGGCAGGACATTTTTCCATGTCAACAACTGGTGTACTTATTGGCCCCGAATTAATTAACCTGCTCTGTTTGTCTGATGTTTGCACTCTCTGCCCCTTAATGGGAGTTTAAACAAGCAAACCCAGTGGCTTAAGGCAATAAAATCCTACTGGAGGTGCTGAACACATGGGAAACTTCTGCATTTCTGTCCTGCCCCCAGGAATATCGAGTGGCCCAGCTGACAGAACTCGGGGCAGCAGCTCCTGACTCATTACCTCTCCAATTAGCAGAGGAAGCAGCCTACAGAAACCAAATCTCTGAACACCTGGTCCTTATGCACTCTAATGATCTGTACACAAGTTAAGTGCCCAATGTTCTGTCCTGCACAGAGATGCCACCCATGCGATGTAAACACCAAAACCCACACTTCCTCCCCCAAAGTCACCCTCCACCCAAATGTCGCGTTGGAAAAAAACGGCAGAAGGCACGCATATGACAGCAGGGAAGTCCTTTACATAAGCTATCTGCACAGCCCTGGGGATGGAGCTGGAGAAGACACAAGAAATGTTTATGTTACAGCCATGTTGGTGACATCCTTTTCCCTGTGATTCCACCCCCCACCCCCCCATGAATGGTAAGCTAGGCAAAAAGTAGGAAGAACTGGTCTCTCTCCTGGGTCTACAAAAGAATGAGAAGTATAAAACTCCACTGGAAAGACATGGACTCTTATGGCTCTTAACAGGTACCCCATTATGGCCCAATGTCCCTTCTTTTGTCAATGTACGTGGGACACAACAAAGGAACTATCTTGGCCATTCGTTTTGCCTGGCTTGTTATCTCTCCCTTATAATAAAAGAGTTTTGGGTGCCAAAGTTCTAAAATGCACTCCTTTAGTGTTAGGCCAAAAAAACTGCCACTCGGAAGACACTGGCTGGGTTCATTGGCTGCTTTGTGCAGTCCCGGCCAGCGTTCCAAGGTCATTTACATATGGAAGCTGATTGGACTACACTCCATTCCACACCTGAAACTCACCCCCCCCCAAGGCAGTTGGAATTTTCAGTTGGGAGAGGAGAATGATGTCAGCTGCTCCCTAGGCAGAGGCTGTGTGTGTGTG